CCCCCCCCCCCAAAAAAAAACAAAACAAACAAAAAACAAAACTGGTTTCTGAACATCCCACCTATTTGCTACACTGGTTTGATATATATTAGAAAGATTATCTAAGAATTATTAATGAGATGACAGAATAATGGAGTTAGTACAATTAATCCATGAAACAAGACATTCATGAAATGTCAGCCCTTCTGTTCATGAATTGTTCATGTACTAAACCGGATTTCTGTGAAGGTGTTTGCTCATCTGTAAGTATTGTCTAACAGTTTGGTTGAACCTTTTAAGGCCTAGAAGTTGGCAGTATGCCATCCATTTCAACTATCTGCAATTCACTGCATGTAGTTACCTAAGTTACTGGTAACAAGAAGCAATAAATCTGGGAGTGATCAACAGGGACCAGCCTTCAGACTGACTATCATTCTACCTAATAACATCACCTGTTGTTCTTTGTGTGTAGACTTTGGACTCACTTATATTTAAGGATACATATTTAAACTACTAATGACACTTTTTGCTGCTGTCAGGATCATAGGTTTCTACTCTGATAAGTAAGTCCTTAATTGCTGGAACAAAGACTGTGAATTTAAGTGTTTATTATATGGTGCTAAGATCTTGTGACTGAGTTTGTTTCTGGTAGGAGCGGAAAAGAAGAGTATGTTAATGTAATATGTGCAGAATTCCTTAATTTGCAATAGCATCATAGCAAACTTACACTGGTACAACATGCCTGGTACATACTGAATCCATAAAGCTAACATCTGTGAATTTGTGCTTCCAAAAGTAAAGCGCTGGGCTCAAAAACACTATTCAGCCAGAGGCTACAGAAAATCAATTTTTTTTTTCTTTAGGACATGATTTGAACACAATTCATTTCCCTTTCTAAATTAGAAGCTTAATGTGGAACCTCTGGCTTTAATTCCTCCAGAGCCATTATGACCTTAGTTTCTCTCCCCTAACATCTGTTTTACCAAAAAGTTTTAAAGAGCTAGAAAAGCTCAATCTTTCCAGCAAAGCTTTCAGCATGGGCAAAAGCTATTACCATCTGCACTTTATCTTATACACCTTATGCTACCACGGTTCATTTAGGACCTTTATGAAAAACAACATCTTCCACAGCAATGATCCAAAATAGGTTTATGTGCATTCACTCATATACAAAAATGCACATTTATTGTGCACCTGCCATATTTGCACACACTACAGATACTAAAATGAAGCTGAGAATGAGCAGCAAGTCAAACAGGCTGTAGCACTCCATCCCAGGAGCTCTCGGGACAGATGGCTAATCAGTGAACTACAAGGATTTAAAAAAAAAAAAGAAGGCACAGCCGTGGCTCACCTTGCCAATGATGCTTGTAATCGCACATGCGTGACAGGGCAATCATCATGGCACAGTAGAGAGGCAGAATAGCTGCACAGAGTCGCCAGCTTTTCCCACGGCCATTTTCAGTGAAGCAATGCAACTTTCCAGCTAGGTAGAAGGTCGTAAAGCCAAGCCCTGAAAATGCAACTGACAGAGAAATATACCAAATTACAGAACCATAAAATTAACAAGACAAGAAGAATAAGAGTGTGCGCCTGCACGATTTAACTCATAGGAGCCCTCTGCTGCACCAGATCCTGATCCCAGAGGCACAGATCCTGAAGTTCTGTATACTTGCAGCTATTATTAGAATTTACTTTTCAAAAGCACAGGCTGTGTACCTTAAACCCAGATAAAATCTAATGGTGCACTCTGGGAATTGAAGATGGTCTGTACTTTATAGGAGGTACTTGGCACTTTCAGACTCGCACATCCATTCTGTAAGCTGTGAACATATAGCCGATGAAGAACAGGTAAAGTAACAACATAAACCCTCAATCAAATGACTCAGCTATTTGAGTTACAGAAAGAAATGAGGTGTATGTCCCAAACAGCTAACATTTCAACAGCTTTTTAGTAAAAAGCAGGAGTGACATTGCTAACTTTACAATTAATACCGTGAGTTCTAAATTTGGGGGGATGCAGTCCCGCAGAAAATCAGGCCCATTGCCTGTAACCTCACCTATGCAGTAACACAGAATAATGAAGATAAGGAAACCCTTCAGAATAAATCCATTTTCTTCTCATAGGTGTGCTTTTTGCATGCAATCCACTACATCCCCAACGACTGTGCTACCTGTACATTTTGTAATATTTTCTATAAAGATTTCATCATTGATTTAATCTTTTAGTCTTTAGCCTTTGTCCATTACTATGTCCGTTGCACAACTCACTTAAGCACGTGTTACATTTTATATAAGTAACTATTTGTTTTTATGCATATGGCTAAAAGCCTTGCTGAACTGGGGGAGGGGGATATGCTTGGAAAGGAATTTACAGTGTAAAAAGATTCAGTGTAGATACAAATGTTTCAATATATTTCAAAGATATCTCTGGATTCCATTTACTTGCTTCTATTTAGTATACTTAGTTAGCAATTATGACAGAACCCACATGCCCAATTTCTTTACACTGGATGTTTTTTCCACTAACAGCTGTCGATGGAGCTAGAGGTATTTAAAATTTATATGATTTTAGCACATTTTAAGGTTCTGTTGTTAAATTAAAATCAATGTCAATCACACAGCTCTGGAAAGCAAGCCCTTCTGTTCTCCAGATATCCAGAGATCGTACTGCCATTCTTGCCTATAATCTAACCCAGTCTGGAAGAAACAGCTATAGGAATATAAGTATACGGCACTTTCTATGTTCATTTCCTAATCCTGTTACTAAATTCCAGTTCTAAGAGTAAATTAGAAATAAACCACTGAAAATTCCCATCATTTAAAGTTTTAGTTTCAGCCAATGTATGCCTGATTCTGATTCTAGAGGCAAAGGTCTTTGTGAATGAACTCTTTTATTGGACCAACTGCTTGCTTGCAATAAAGTTAGTCAACCTTTTGAATGCAAGGCATTCTTCATCAGGTCTCAGGAAAGAAACAAGGAAAGCAATGATTAAAAATTATAGGTAGGGCTGTGAAAGTGGAGAGGTGAGAAGTTCCCAGAGTAGCAGACAAACAATTAGTAAAATAAAAGATTCTAACTCTACTCATACCTCCACAACCTGGAAAACAGCCTATAGCTAGGACCAATTGCTTTATGGATGCACGACTAGAAGGCAATACATCTAATTCACACGATAAATTCATTATCCTGCTTTTGTTTAATTCCACAGCAAAATTCCTAGTGATGTTTGGTCAGGCCTAGATTTGCTTTCTAATTTCTTTTTAAGGCTCTTCAAATGCCCTTCAGCACATATTTTCCATGATACAAAGTAATTACTTTTGTGCTGTCCAGATGCATCTATGGAATGGCCGGTTTTAATTTGCTTCTACAATGAAGTATCTTCACAAGTTTAAACCACACGGACAATTGAACCTAATTACCAAAAGCTTGTTGTTTCACCTTAGCACACGCAAATAAATCAGTTCCTTTGAACAGAGGCGTCAGGGAAGGGGTGGGTTGTATGTTAAATATCAAACTGGGGCTCCAAACATCTAGTTCTCTCCTAGACCTCTTCAATCCAAGTTGATTTTCAGAAGAGTCTCCCTATCAGAAGAAGGCAGGAAGTGAACTTTGAAGGCAATTTCAGAATAATAAAGTTTTCCTAGAGAGCCGTTTCTTTTAGGACAGATGTCTGTCAACAAGTGACTCCTTGATGACTATAAACCGACTTCATCCAACTCAAACTGAATCATAATTCTTCCCTGGAAGGTTTATATTGTTCATGATTTTTTCCTTCTTCCAATTTCTGTTTGGAAATCTCCCTTGTGATTCTTTCCATGATTACAAGACCCATGACTGGAATACCTCTAGTGCAGCTAAAAATGCAATAATTTGAACCAGTGAAACTGTGTGTGTAATATCTGCACAAATCTAAGATATCTAAGAGTTCAGCGGATTTCAATAAGCATCTGAAATGTCAACTGATTTTCCCAATTCCTAAACTGCTAAGTGATACACTTGTGACATAGGTCTGCAGTTCATACCTACTCATATTCAAAGTTGCTGTACTTTGAAAAGCAATTCCAGTGCAGAAAAAACAGCAAATCTATTTTACATTTCCTAATGATGAATAACATACTTCAGGGTAAAAACACCAGAGAGGAATTGCTTTGCATCTCTCCAGATTAGGCACCAACACTGAAGAGGAAAACAGCTATTAAAATGTGTTCATATGTTAACGTCAATGCCTTATATTTTATTAATGTGGTCAGAATATAAATGGCATCTGGTAATCAGAAAAACAGATTTCTGAGTATCTATATCAATATTAGTTTATTACCAGAGGGTGCAGGAGCCACTTTTCTTCCTAACACCACGCAACTAAAAACATGGGTGCCTGTTCCTTATGTTCTTTAATCTAACTATTTTTACTTCAGGCACAAAATTTCCATACTCATAATACAACCAATATTGGATTGCATTAAGATGCTGCAAGGCCAAAGATCTTTTATAAAGGCAGTGAAACAAATATTATTACTCAGGGCATAGTGGTACCCACTGACATAAAAAAGAAATTCCCTGAAATCCATTTCAATACACTTAGTTCCTGAAAGCCCTTCCCATTCCCCAAAAGGCTTTTCTTTTAAGAGAAGATCATTAAGTTCAAATTGGGATGAGAAGTAGAGAACATGCTTGATATTTATCATTTGCATAGCCTCTCTCACCTCTGGGACTCTCAGAGAACTAGAGAGAGACAAAAAAAGAAAAGTATTTGGAGCGTCTTTGCTTCAGCTATACAAAGTAAAAACAAAACAGATCATCAACAGGAGGTTTCAAAATCTTCTTTGTAAATGGCTCCATTTACATTTCTCTTTGGTGAGAGAACACTTTGAATTTTTAAACACTGGTGGTAATTCAAATGGAGCTGAAATGTCCAATTGCTGAATGGAACAGGGACAGTGGGGGAGTTGTTGGGACTGTCTGATGCAGATCTGAACTGCTGAGTAGTGGCAGTTTGCTCCTTACTACATGCATTATATATCTTAGTCAAGCCATCTATGCAAATTTTTATGCTCGATTTCTGGGCTCACTGCTAAATCTCTGTGGAGATCATTAAAAACTTTGCTTTGTGGAAAGAACTCTTCTGAATTATGACTTTTCACTTTGTGCACTCAGATTTTTCTTGGGAATTCCCTCCGTAGTACATAAGCAAATGGAAAGCAGATTGAGATGTAGCTAGCTATATCCCTTGCAAACAATAAGTGGGTGTATTATAGTGCTATAATTTACAGGGCTTTGAATTTGAAACAAGATGGTAAATGAAATGTGAAGGCTTAAAGCACTGGACAAATTCAGATTAGACCTGACTCCAAGAACACAAGACAAGTCAATCCTACTTTCTTTCCAGAGCTTCCATTTCTCCCTTTATTCTGTGCAATTTAATCTACAGAACAGCATCCAGAACCATAACAGCGCTCTATATTGCTCTGGAGATTGGTGACAAAAGCTAATGACATAAAAGAATGCTTCTGCAAAAGTGCAGTAGAAATTAACTGTAAATTTAGCTTGACAGGGTCAGAGTCCAACAAACTGGCTGGCAAAAAAAAAAAAATCTAATCATTTTCTCATGATCCAAATTTGCTCAGAGCATGCAAAACCTCCACTGAGATCCTCATCAGAATGAGTAGGATCGATATTTACTGTATAGACAGAGAGGCAACATTTGCCTTAAATTGTCTGTGCCTGCAAATTCAAGGTCAGATAAAAAATATTGAGTGACAGACACGAAATTCAGAGGGACTTTTCCTCCATGCAATATGAAGAAGTGGAGCAATGACGCTCTAGCTTGTGATTATGAAACTAATATTCTCTATCCTGGCTTTACATTGCAATATCATGAGATTAATCTTCCTCAACCTGGACCTCAGCTGTTTTCCCCCCTGGTCTCTGTGTGTACAGTAGCAGCTGCAGAGGAGAATGTGGAATCAGTAGATAAAGGGGGAAGATCCAAATGCATACTCTGAAAACATTGCTTTACACTCTGTGGAAGCCACTTTTTGCTTGATGGCTACATTTTAAAGATATGTTTCCTCAACAGCATTAAGAGAAACAATTCATTCATATAAAGATAAACCTCTGCGGAATCATATGTGAATTCACTCCTTCACATTCAACCAATGTCATGTATTTCGGGGGGGGGATGCTAAGGTAAAGACAATAGCTCAGTTGTACTATGCCAAAAATGGACATACATCCTGGCCACACATGTTTGGGTATTAAACACATGAAAAACATTGTCCAATGTGATATTAAAACAATTATTATGATTTTGCGTTAAGAAGATAGATGTCAGACAATCAGTAGACCCATTGGTATAGATCTTTCTGTTCCATTTTCAGCTGCTTTGTTCCTGGTTGTAATTAATATTCAGAGCCACCTATATAATGAAGACAACGAACGACCCACAGCAAGCCTGCCTAGGAAACAGCCAGTACAATCTGAAATGAATGAGTCAGTTGGATTTAGCTGAAAACACTGTTAAC